GGGCAGTGTTCAGTCTGCATCTTATTCTACCAGCAGTATCATCACCTTTGAAGGCAATCTATAGAAAGATGGTCTTTTTCTCTACAGTGTTGTACTTCACCTTGTCAACACTACGTTTTCCATGTTTGTAGATGAACTACTGTGGGTGGTAACCATTATCAATGCAGGTTTTCTGATTGATGTCAACTCGTGATAAAACTAGTAGCCAACCAAATTCTTGCAAACGAACACTTTATAATCCAGAGTTGACACACTTTAGCTTGATTTTAGAATTGCTTCTTTAACTGGTAATATGAAGTGAAGCTGTAAGTAAGTAAGTTTAAAACAATATTCGATTTACTACTATGCTGTTCTTCTTCCTGTTATACAACTTAGTCTGTTGTAGTTTCCCGACATTTCTTTTCTCCTAACATTTTCGTGTGTTTCCTTGAAGTGTGACGAGTTAAAGCCCGAGAGACTTTTGTCAGAAGTTTTACACTTAATTAACCAAGTTATGACGGCTTTTCAGTCTTTTTTTTATCGGAGAAAGGTTTGTTACTTTGTTAGGACCAGTCATACCACAAGTGCATTTCACAATATGTATCACAGTATCATCTAATGGATGGGTCTCATGCTTGAACAAACTTGATTATGATAGTATTATTATCCCCTTGGGTTCTGAATGGAACTTGAGACTTCAACAGCAACAACATCTCCACCTTGTACTATTCTCTATGGTCCCTCTTAGCTGACTCCACAATTGCCTATAGGCTCTCACTTCCTACTCACACTATGTCTTTCATGTCAGTCACACTTGGACCACAGCCTAACTCGTTGTATCCCATTCGGGTTATACTCGTGATAGTGCCTGGCGCGTGATGTCACTCATTGGTTACCTCAAAGCGAAGGCAGCTTTCGATGAAAATCTGCAGCCTTTGTAGAAATGCTTCTCGTGACACGCGAAGTCTCTGAACCACCATATGGAAGCACTGACTCACTGATTCTTTATCCTGAGTGCTAAACTTATTTTAGAGTGACAAAGGTCTGTCTTACCTTTCCTCTTTTGAAATTGACATCTTTATCCTTGCCGTCCACCTGCATTTGAAGTGATACTGCATGGATAAGTGAGGGAGGTAACATCTTTCAAATTTCTTCCGTTAATATTGATTGGTGCTTGTTGTTGTTATTGGTTGGTTATCTTCATCACCTCCTTCTTCTCTATTTCCACTTGAAGTCCTGTCTTTGGTGCTTCTACTGCCAACCTGTTGGTTTTCGCCTGTAAGTCTTCGAGTTTATGTAACTTTGGACGTAAATCGTCGGAGAATTTCAGATCTTCTAGAGTCTGATTCTATTATCGGTAAAATTTATTTTGATAAAGTCTCACAATGTTATACAGTAATATTTACTGATGACCACTTTTCAAGCACAATTTATTGCTCGTGACTTCGTTTATGTAATTCCTTTATTTTTCATCGCTTGACTTGATGGGTGGTAGTAGTATTTTCCATATTTCTGCTTTGAGTGATGAGTCGTTCCTGCTGCACGTGTTTGGTGTGGATTCGATGATCAAAGATTCAATAATCTCTCTCTCTCTCCATCTACCTAGATTACTTTTTAGAATTTTAACTCTCTCCCATCCTATTGTGTGTTAATGCATACAGTGCAATTACTTAGCTTCCTTCTAAATTACTTATTATCTTCACTGGTCCAATCATTCTAACCTTAGCTAAATTCTAATGTTCTGACAATGTGGCTACTTCCGACCTTCTAGTTTGACCTATGTAGTTGACTTAACTCACAATCATTGCAAAGTATTTTGTAAATTATATTAATTTGTCTAATTGGGTCAACTAGGTCCTTAAACCTAGAGAGCTTGTCCCTGCCTGAGTGAGTTGTTAGGTTTAAATGCCACTCTAATTCCTGCTTTATTACGAATCTTACGTAGGGCCTCAGATTTCCCATCCTTATATCGTAGAACTGTAGATGCCTTATATTCTGTCTTATTTATGTTATCATTATTAGTTTCCCCATTATTTTTATTTTACTTTTCACCTTTTCTCATCTTCCTAATGAATTTTATGGGATAGTTATTTGATACAAGTGCTTCTTCTATCTGTTTTATTTCATCATTTCATATATCAACTTCTAGAGTCTACTTATTGGTCCACCGTATCCCTGTCTCCTTTCTCCCCACAGTGTGTCACGTGATCCAGTCCACTACAATTAGGAATGTCATCGGTTATAGAAGACAATTTCATCTTACTCTTATCTTCACGCAAAAAGCTTCGCTGAGCTTTTCATTGTGGATCATTCGAAATGCAGCATCACGGTCATACATAGCTACTGAATGTGGTAGATAAAGGTTTGTAGCGCTTCGTAGTGTTGAGGTAGTTTCCAGATTACTTCTTTGTCGAAGGCGTTTTCAAAGTTGTTGAAGTTGAGGTGGAGATGTGACTGCCATCCTATGCTCCGTTCTATGATGTTGTGTATCATTGCAACCTGATCCTCACATATGATTCACTTTTCTTGAATCTAGTTTGTTTCTGATGGAGTTTTGCATTCAGAACCTCTTTCAGTCTCTTCAGGATTGAGTTGACTTGATGTTTTAATTAGTGAATACTTAATCTTCTTTCCTTCATTACCATTTGTTTCTCTTACAAATTATGCAGTACAAGCTTCCGATATAATAAGCTATCAAACATGCCTATTGTATGAGATGCTATTTGATCGTAAATTCCACTCTACTTTACTTTTAATAACATTTAGTGAACTCACTATGGTAAGTACTTTAGTTATTAGTCGTCAATTCTTGAGATTTTGATGTGTCTTCAAGGGTGGGGTTTGTTCAGGGTGACCAACGGTACTGTGACCCCGGATGGAGAGGCTCACTGTTGCACGTCGGTGGGTTGAAACTCGTGGCAGAGTATAGTTGGGTGCGCTTAGGCGTGCAGGTTCGTCAGTGTGGAAGGCCTCACGGTCCTCCACCCCCTATTTGACAAATCGGGCAGCTTTTTTTTTAATCATTGGGCTGACTGAATTTCCACCCAACACAATGCTTTCCCTAATTCTTATTGTCTTAACCACTGAATTGTATCCTTGAGTAGGAAAATGTACTGACGCACATTTTTAATCGGCTTTCAGACTAGGCGTGCGCATTTCACGCAGACGAAGAGGAAATATCATAAGGTATTAGTGTATGCTTCAGATCTAACAGTATAGCATCCATCACATGATATACTACTATATATAATATACTTTTTTTACCTGAAGATTCTGGATGAGGAGAAAATATTATATAATAAATTACGCTGAGAATTTTGTATACTGTGTAAACATTTCTTTCAAGATAAAGCTATTATTTACTTATTATATTTATTGATTCATTTATTATTATTATTAGAAAAACTGAATGAACTAACAGATATATGAGGAATGTCATTCCTTATCTTACCTTTACAATACACTTTGTAGATGGTTTTTTAATACTTCAATTAATAATCACTTTAATAAAGGGTATTTAAGTATTGGTTTTGTAGGGATTTTGTTTGATTGGTTGGAGGATTTCATCATGAGCTGACACCACTTAGAGAACCATTGGAAAACCGACCAGGGAGTACTGGACAGTTTGAGAATTTCCAGAAGTAGTACGCACTCACCACATGGGGTTCGAATACTGTACCTTCTCGTTACTATACTTGAAAATTGATTTGATGCTCACTAGCGACTGGCCCTATTCAGGCAGTGACCTGAGGTTCTAGTGGGAAGCCGTGACCAGTGGGGTACAGCGGGTCGAAGGTGAAGCAGTAACTCATCGACGAAGACACTGTGAATTGGTCGCACTATGTCATGAATTGACAGAATTTAGAATTCATAGGTTGGTCATTGGATGGGTCCCAGTAGCTTAATGGTCTACGAGCTAGCTCGCCTCGCACCCAGAAGGACTTGGGTTCGACCCCTGTCGATGAATGTGTATTGCTGAAGAGTCCCACAGGAGGAGGACGAAACAGTTGTCCAGTACTCCCGGGCAGATTCTCCAATGGTTCTCTAACTGATGTCAGCTCATGATGAAATCCTCCAACCAATCGAAGGGTATTTATATTCTGTACTGGTCCACCTTGAATTTCCATCTGAGACAATACATCCTTATTTTCTTTAGTTCTTGTTGTTATAATGATTCAGTTTTATCCGTAGGTCTCCAAATGTACTCGTGCACATTTTTAATTGGTTTGCAGCTGCCTATCGTTGAGCATTTCTGTAGGACTAAAGAATAAAATACCGTAATGGATTATTTTATTCTTCATATCTAACATCACTGCGTCACATGATTTACTGGAGATGGCTGTTTTTCACTTGAAACTCCTTTTTTTTATTCCTTTACGTTCCCAGTGGAACATAGGGCTTCAAGCTAAAGACATGAAGTTTCGGTAGCAGTGGTGTGTTTATTTTTTACGGGATTGGGTTGCTAGCCAGCCTCATGCCCAACCTTCCCTCTTTACCAGTCTTCTTACTGGCTTAGTGAGGTAAAGGAATGCTGATGAGTGCCAACTAGCATGAAACCTAGGTCCAAGGCTTCCTGCCAATTGCCTCCAACTATCTAGTAAAGGGATGCGTCGGCCGTCGATCGAACCCCGGACCACCTGCATGGTTAGCGAGCATACTGCCGCTGTGCCACTGACGCACTGAAACTCCTGGATGAAGAGTAAATATTATGCTAATAAACTTCGCTGAAAAATTTGTATTAAATTTTTTTATTACAGCTTGATTCCACACCGTATTTTTCGGTACAGGTATGGAATTTTCGGTATGTGATATCGGTAGCCCAAATTTTGCAGGCCGACCATAGATATCAGGTGTGCGTCGGCAGGAGATCGAACCCCGGACCATGTGCATGGTCGGCAAGAGTCCTAACCACTTTGCCGCATATTGTGTAAACTTATTGTGCATAATAAAGCTATTGTTATAACTATTATTATTATTATCACTGTTTATATGTGTTGCTTCTTCTTTGTTTAAATTTACAGCTGATGGCTTTGAATCCTGTTATCTAGCCTTTGAGGCTAATGAAAAATTTTATATTCTATCAAGTGATCCAACCGAAGATACTACAGACTGGCTTCATGTTTGTCGTATGCAGCAGCAACAGCAGCAGCATCCCTTTGAGATAGGTTATGTTCCAACAGCTTATGTTCAACAACAACTTTATTCTCAACCAATTCTTCTACCGAATAATCATAATACTAAACATGAACCAACACAGGATTCATCGGATTCCTCATCAACTACTAAGACAGCAACGACAACAGCGACACCGAAAAGACCAGCAACTACAATACCAATATCAACAACACATAATGGACAGATAAAAAGTTCAGGGAGTAATAATAATAGTACCGTTAGTAATAGGAGCAACATGAATCCTTGTATGATGAATAGAAATTTTAGAGGTACTTCACCTTATGTACGTTTAAGTGGAGTTTCAAGAGATACTGACTTATAAGTTTTACACCTATTTATTTATTGTGTGTATTCGTTAAGGTAAGTCATTTGTGTGTGTTTTTGCACTGCATACATACACTGTCACACACGTGTATTGTTCACTTCACGTCATTGTTGTGACTAACAGTATTCCGACAAAAACTATCTCCTTATCCCGACGAACATCCTGATGGCACATAATTCCTCTTTTTTCTTGTACATATATACACACATATATATAGGAAGCAATACATGAACGATTGATGTGTATGACTAAAATGGAAAGATTGTCCTTTGTTATATTATTACACATAAATATTGATTTTTTCTCCTTTTCTATCTACTAGGGGGGTTGTAACTTTTTTTCCAATTTACCCATCATTGATTCATGCAAACACAATTAACAGTTTTTAGTCCTTTTATATCTTTGTGTAGATGATGAGGATGTTGGGAGACTCTTTATTATTAATCGTCAACATTGACTGTTTTTACACTGTGAATTTCTATATTTCTACAGCATATATATACAGTAAATAATCTGAATTGTAATCAGTAATTTCTTTTTCTACCTGTTCAGATACATATATATATATATATATCATAGGAGATAAATTTATTCACTTCCCTGTTTTTCTTTCTTGGTCGTTTGTTTCTCTGCCTAACACAATACACATAAAATGATGTTGTTTATTATGCAACGTGTTTTTCTTTTTTGTTGTTGTTGTTTTGCCTTGTGAATAGTTAAATAAAAATATTTGGTTTAGATATGTTAGAGAACCATTGGGAAACCAGCACTGGAGTGGAGTACTGGACAGCTGTTTCATCCTACTGGTTTGGGAATCATCTATCGGCAGTAGTCACCCACCACAGGGGGTTCGAACTCAGGACGCAAGCTCGTGTTCCATTAAGCCACTGGGACCTGGTTCAATGGCGCCAGTCCATGAATTCTAACTTCTGCCAATTCGTGATTTTGGCGTGACTAGCACCAATCAATGTCATCGGTGGGACATCCATTCATCCTCACTCCCGACTGGATGGATCTCACTGGTCACGACTTCTCACTAGAACTCCAGGAAACTCCGTTCTGTAGCAAGTCACTAGTGAGCATCAGATTAAGTTTCTATAGTTGGTTTATAAGGATTAGTTTTGTTTTTACGAGTTGATAGAATTGGTAGAAGTTAGAATTCATGGACTGGCCATTGAATTGGGTGGGTCGCAGTGGCTGAATGGTGGTATACGAGTTTGCCTTGTAACCGGAAGGTCCTGGCTTCGAGCCTTGACAGTGGGTGAGTACTGCCGATGATTCCCAAACCAGTAGGATGAAACAGCTGTCCAGTACTCGAGTGGTCGTTTTCAATGGTTCTCTAACTGATATAACTGGGTGTTTAAAATCAATCAGTTGTATATTTTTTCATAGGTGTGAATACATAAAATAATAATGGTAGTAGTATGAAATGCAATTAGAATTAAAGTGTTTGTGATTATAATCATAGTTAAATGTGAAGTGGTAAAACAATTCATGTCATATATAGGAACAATTCATAGGATGTATAGAACCTGGAAGGAGTGCCAAATTATAGGATTAGTAGGCAATTGTAAGACGTTGCATAACACGGTGTGAAATTCGATAACATAGAATTTAACATTGCAACAAAAAAGTACTGGTCATTCTATGTCTACATCCTCCAGCTTGAAAGTCATCTACAAGGCGAAAGGCGATTTGCCCAAATCACTACACACCCGACTGGTCCGTTTTGCTGAAGTTTTGGCCATAGACATAGAGAAGCCAGATCTCTGCATACAGGAGAAGTTCGTTCAACTCCTCCAACCTTCATGGTATTAATCCCTCTATGCTAGAGTACCATAATCCCTAATCATATTTTGCCTCTATTTATTTTTCATTTTGTCTACTCAGTTTGTATACTCTTCCTTTATTACGTCAATTATCACTATTATTATTACTCTCACTTTGAACTACCTCCGGTATTATTTCACTCGTCCTTCTAAATTGATTTTGTTTTGCAACGTTGAATTCTATGTTATCACACTTCACAAATTGTTATGCAACCTTTTTATTTTATTTGCCGACTAATCCTATAATCCCACACCCCTTCCAAGTTCTATACATCCTATTCTGGCGAGTGCCACTGATAAGATTTATCAGTAGCATAAAAACACCGAATAGTAGTGAGATACATTTGATTTCAGAGAAGGCAAATGACACATCGTTGCAGAGATACGTAAAAGACGCGAAAGAAACACAATATGAGGTCTAGAAGTAGCACAGCACGAAGATCTGTTCAAATGCTGCGTTGAAGATAAGGTATACATAATCTAGATATATAGAGATACCAAACTGCAAATAAACATTCCTTTACCAAGTCTTTCGTCTTCTGCCGTTTCACTATGAATTGTTCCTATATATGACATTAATTGTTTTGCCACTTGACATTTAACTATGATTATAATTACAAACATTTTAATTTTAGTTGCATTCCATACTACTACTATTATTATTTTATGTATTCACACACCTATAATTCAATTCCCTCACCGGATATAATTTCTTAAAGACCGCATATGTATACATACATACGATTGTACAGCTGGATAATAAGTTCGTTGGTGGGAGTCTCTTCACTGAATCACTTGTTTTGATTTTCTACTTTCTTTTTCTTTCTCATTGGTTTCATCATTTCTTCGAATGTGATATGTTGAGCACGAATAATAAAACCTTCTTACTCATTATGATTTGATACTTAGTTAGGTAGGTATATTCTCATCTTGAAATGTCAGTCGTCGATCACTTACATGAGGTTGCAGAAAGATCTTCATGAAGTAATATGGCATCCTATTGCTCTCCTCAACGGTTTGATGTTGTCTGAGGTGAAATTAGATTGAGAATACGTCAATGATCCAAGAAATAGCCAAGTTTTTCTTTTGAGTCACGTAGTGACTTGTCAGTGTTTTTGGTTAATCTTAAAAACTAAATAATTCAAAACTTTTGATGAAATTATTTGGTGGATAGTGACTAACAGTGGATTGCAGGATTTGCATTTTGTCCCACTTGGGAATCGTCATCTGGATGTATCTAGTGGATAACGCTTTAGCGTTTGAAATGATGGGTACAGGGTTGGAGCTTCAGTGAGAATAGTAACACTCACTGGGAAATACAGGTACATCCAGTTGACGAGTCCCAGATAGAACGAAGTGAGCACCCTGGATTCCATTGCTAGTCACCATCCACTAAATTACTTCAAGTTAAATCCTCAGACATTGTCAAAACATCCGCACAAGGAATCAATATGTCAACAGAGACCAGTCCAATCATTCAACGGTAAAGTCCAAAGTGAATTCAATAATTTTGGTGAAATGGTTAAAAATACTCCCCAGTGTTGCTTAAGTTAGTCAGTCATCCTGAAAGTTTTCACAAATCTTATTAAATCATTTTTCTTATTCTAGACATTTTTTCCCATTAAAACACTAAAACTTTACGAAGATTTGTTTATAGTAAATGGGTGAGAAAGTTCCAGAACTATTTCCAGTTAAAGGTCAAACTAATAAAATTACACAGTGTAATAAACAGGAGGACTGGATACAGAATATGGAAAGATAGATAGGTTGTAGTACTGTTCTAGAAATATTTCAGGTCAAAGGCCAAATTAATAAAGTAACAAAGTGTAATAAAGACATAATTACTTAAAAATTGACTGTTTTTACAAAATACGGATTAATGACGTAGCGATAACAAAATAGGTAGGGAGTTCGGATATATAAAATTAAAAAACAGCAACCAAATTTAGTAATGAAGATAAGAATTAAAAACGTAAAAATAACAGAAATAAACAGGAGGATTAGATAAGAAAGGTAATAGGGTAATCATCATTGGTGGAATTGACTTTTCATGACAGCCACGGTTGGACGTATTTCTTTCGAACACATAGCGTCGGCTTGAGTTTTGGGATCGCCAGTGCCTCAGCTATTCCTAGATGCCTTGATTTCACTCCCTTTGATAGGTTTGATCGGATCTTGTATGTGACTTTGAAGGACTTTTCAAATGGAGCATCCTGAATTCACCAGATGTTCTGTTATCGAACTGTATGCACCGTTGCTTTCCCCCTTTGCTAACCCTTTCTGGATAGTGTTCCCGAGCGCGTTTTACAAGCGGACGACGCACTCGTACTCGGCTCCACACGAGCAAGTGAAGTGGTATATGCATGTTGAAGTAGTCCAATGTGACAGCTTATCTTTCACATGCTGGTTGAATAGTTTCTTGCAGGAAAATGTCACTCGTAGGCTGGCGGCAAAGTATGTTTTACTGAGAAACTTCGAAAGTCGTCTACGGAGAAGTTCTGCTTCGGTATCACTTTTAAATTCGAGGTTGAGTATCAGCATCTTTTTGGGGGCGACTTGAACCTTTTCAGGCGTTTTCTTTGGTTTTATTGTATTGGTATTTTATTTACTCCATTTCATACTGCTTTATTGACCTAATTACCACAATGAGCAGCAATCTATACTCAATGCACAATTTCAAATAGGTGTCTACCTATCTCTAGGAAATTGTCGAAGGAAATGGAGGAACAACATTGAGGAGGAGGAGTCGTATTGAAGGAGGTTTCTGATGGAACGATACTGCTTCAGATGATATATTTTATTTGGTTATTCTAATATTTTGAAGATTCTGCACACGGAGTAAATCCCTTGCTACGTAAAACTCGCTGAAAATTTTGTGTATTGTGTCTAAAATGCACTTTACAGAATAAGGCTATTATTAGTATTATCACTATCTATTGCATACCGGAATTTCATTTTAATTCATGCAATAAATTTGCTAAAGGAATTTTGTCAGACTGTGAACATCCACTTTACCCCCGCAGCTTTCACCTTGTGTCTCCTCAGTTAAACAAGAAGTTTAATTTCCTATAATAGATAATTAATAAATTGTAATGCTTAATTTTGGATGCGTCACTTTTATAGTATCTCTTCTCTACTACCACTTGAACATTAAAGTATGTTATTATCATCTATACAGCCATTGCAATTTCAGGTAGGGGTGTGCAGCTGATGAGAACCTGTGAAATAGAATGATATCATTTTATACTGCCAATTTCGTCTTCCTTTCTTTATCGAAAACAAGAAGTCATTTCGAAAGACTTTATGCACGTACGTCTAAGTATAAAAATTCCACTGTTCCATATTTGGCACGTATTTTATGTGATGAAAATAGTGTCAGGTATGAACTAACTAACCTTCTTTGCACTAGTAAATAAACCATTAACTCCACCCTTATAACATCAACCTTTATTGTTATTGTTCTTCTTATATTTATAATCCTCTCAATTTTTCGTTTTTATTTGTTTATTTTGTCATAAGTGTGAACATCATTTAAGCTGTGTGATAACTGCTATTTTTTCTCTTTCACCTCACCATGCTATATCAAGAGAACACTAGATTCAATAATCTATAATATGCTAAAATTTTCAAACTGAATCACCAATAATGTTTGAAACAAACTCACTGTTATTATTACTATATTTATCATTCTCATTTTGTACTTCGAATATTTTTGACTTTATACCGTAAATGTGGACAAATTCCTGTGGCTAATTTTATTTATATTTTGAGTAAATTAGATGTAGTATTGTGACAAATGCTGAGAATTCCATTCTGTTTTTTGGAATTAAGTAAATTATTATTAAAAGGTTAAAAAGTTTGACAGGATTTCATCATGAGCTGACATCGGCTAGAGAACCACTGGAAAACCAACAGGGAGTACTGGACGGCTGTTTCGTCCTCTTCCTTCTCCTCATCAACTGGGACTCTTTGGCAGTACGCACCCACCGCCAGGGGTCTAACCGAGGACCTTTAGGTTACAAGGTAAGCTCATCGACCACTCAGCCACTGGGAAAGAATCCAATGGTCCATTAATTCTAACTTCTGCGAGAATAATCCATAGGATGTATCGACGTTGGGAGGGGATGTACAGTTAGGCAAATATCAAACGTTACACAATAGGATGTGAAATTTGATAACATAGAATTCAACGTTGTAAAACAAAATCAATTTAGAAAGACAAGTGAAATAATACCGGAGACAGTTTAAAGTGAGAATAATAATGATAACAATTGACTTAATAAAGGAAGATTATACAAACTGAATAGACAAAACGAAAAATAATTAGAGCAAAAATATGATTAGGGATTATCATACTTTAGCATAGAAGGTGGGATTAAGACCATGAGTTGGAGGGGTGGAACAAACTTTCACTGTATACAGGGATCTGGCTTTCCTGTTTCGATGGACAAGGTTTCAGCAAAACAGATCAGTCAGATACTTAGTGATTTTGGCAAATTACTTCGCCTCATAGATGACTTTCAAGGCGGAGGCTGTAGAGGTAGGGTGACCATTATTTTTCTTGCGGTGTTAAATTCTATATTATCGAATTTCAAATCCTGTTGTGTAACGTCCTTATTTTATTTGCCTACTAATACTTTAAATTGACATCCTCTTACAACACCCATCCTTCCGGTTACAATGTCACGACTTCCCACTAGAAACCCAGGTAATTAAAATATTTAACTTAATCATAATAAACATATATTCATAGTTCATGATCATCTTTTCAAATAAGATCGAAAAAAAAGAATAAGTGTGATAAATATACACAATTAAGTAGTATGTACAAATATCAAAATGTTTCAAGTTAAATGTTGATGGTTGTGGGTGTGGGGTGGTTGGTTGGTTAGTTGGCTGTAGAATAAATTACAAACAGAGTTAACGAATCTTTTTGACCATTAAGTATTCATCATTATCATTATCAAATTTATTATCTTTAGGTTTTCTAATCTCTTCATAATATTTAATCACAGCTGGATCAGCACGTATCACTTCTGGACGCCAATCGAGTAGGCGTAAACCATCTAAATTACGACAACGACTCAGTGCCACATAGGCTTGACCACATTCAAAAACCTGAAATAAAAAAGATACCGGCCTTTTAGAGCTTGTCGAAAACATTTAAAAAAATATATATATACAATATAGTATCCAAAAAGTAGCACTAAACGGTGAAGTTAAGCATGTATGTGAATACATACTCTATTGACCCTCCAATGCAAAACTGGGAGGTAATTATATCAGACATCAGGAAAAAGTATCCTTTGTAACAGTTTCATGCCATTTTGTTCATTATTTTCATTATGAACTGACGTCATTTAGAGAATCATTGAAAAACCTGCCATGGAGTACTGGACAACTTGTTTCGTCCCCCTTCTTTGAGACTCTTCATCAGTACGCACCCACCGTAACTGGGTTCGAACCCAGGACCTTCTGATTACAAGACGAGCTCGTAGACCGCATGGGTGCGCACTGATGAAGAGTCCCAAACTACGACGAAGCAGCCGTCCATTACTCCCAGGTTTTCCAGTGCTTCTCTAACCCCGACGTCAGCTCATAATGAAATCCTGTAACTAGTCAAATCCCTACAAAACACTTGAATATATTTGTACTTTATACGTAAAAACAGCCTTTCCCATGTGATTGGTGTGTTCAAGGTCATTTGCGCCTAAAATGTAACTTCACCCACTAAACTTTCCAAAGTAAAATAAAGAAATGTGTACTAAGACTAAGGAATGACTCGATCTTTCTGTGTAAGGATAAAGAAAAAACAAGATACATTAGTGTATCAATTAAAGTTGACATACACATTTCAAATCAATATAGAGAATGAAGTAACAGACTGACATAAACTAAACTGGGAGAAATGAACAAATCATTACAGTAACAGACACTACTATAGAGTAACGATCCACGTTGACGTAGTGTATACCAATTAGTAGGTAATAGTGAAAGATAAAAAAATGTAAAAGTAATCAACATGTTACGCTATATACTACTGACTGATTAAGATGAGTAGGTAGTTGCATACCAATCCATATCAACCAGTAAGTGCTTGTCAGTAAGCCAGATCGAGGTAATCTAAACACCGGACGGTCGTTTCGCTCGTTTGCGGCCGAACTCACTGAAGCGAGAGCCGAATCAGTATTGAAACCACCGGAGCTAATTGGGTGAACTGGTAACACCATAAATCGAGTTTGATTCACCTTCCAGAAAGTCTAATTACGCAACACACTTAGTCACTCTCTCAGGTCTAAAGAAGATTTATTGAATTTTATCTTTTATTTTACGCTTTTCCTTCAGTGTTAGAGATAATGATGTCTGAGATTTCTTTTTATTGTGAATGTGTCTAGACTTATGATTAAAGGACAATAATTCAGGTCAGGTCATTGAAGAACAGTACTTAATTTAGCTTTCACAAAAGCAGTCTTCCAATCTAATGGAGTCACTTTCTAAGGGGAAGGTACATCAAACATTATAGGCGGTGTGATTTAGAGAGTCAGTCAACTTCCGTTGATTGTGATATTTTACACATATATCTATCAATTACCTAACCTTATCAGGTATTATGGCAGTTTAAGAGTACAGATCTGATGAATCTGTAAAGTTATTCCATTAAACAAGAATAACAATTAGTTTTCTGCGTTTTCAAAACCCTAATAAACACATAACTGAATAACTGACTAATTTCAACGTAGAACTTTGCACAGATGTGTAGCAGTTAGAGTTGCTACACCCCTTCCATGTACCACACAAAGCAAGAGAAGAGAGTAAAGAGAGGGATAATGAACAGAAATATGAGGCAAAAGGAACGTCAGCGGTATAGCGGTTAGGACGCTCGCCGACCATGCACATGGTCCGGGATTCGATCCCCGGCCGACGCACTCCTTTATCTCGCTAAGCCAGAAATAATTCTGGTGAAGAGGAAAGGTTGGGAATGAGGCTAGCAACCCCATCCTGTAAAATAAACACTGCTATAGAAACTTCAAGCCACTAGCTTGAAGCCCTATGTTCCACTGAGGAACGTGAAGGAGAAGAAAATGAGGCAAAAGGAATAGTAATATGGAAAAAACAATAGTTTTATTGGAGATGATAAATGACAAATAGTGAATACATCTGCGCCAATGAAAACGATTTTGAACCACATCAACAATTGTCTCCAGGTTTATTCGTTTTTACCATCCCGAAGACCCCAACCAACAAGTCTACACCTTCCTACGTGGCTTAAACTAACTGTTGTGGATTTCATTGATTGATGGAGCCATATTTTGGTTTGACCACCACTGGCTCTTTTCCAACCTGATCCTATGTCAGTCAGCTAACATTACCCGTCGAGGAAGGCGATGGCTAGGCATGCGTAACACATATCCTAACCATCTCAATCGATATAACTTCACAGTCTCGTCGATTGATTTCCCCTCCTTACCTAGCACTCAACTGATGCCTAACCTGAATATTACTCACCTTATTACGCCAATTCACACTGGAGACAGAACGCAGGCACCTATGATCAGAGACAGCTAGTCTGCCTATTCATTTCTTCCACTTTCAATGGTCATATTTCGCTCACAGCCATAAAGGAAGACAGAGCGAACTGCTGAGCAGTACATACGTCCTTTGGTCGATAGCCGGATATCACGTCTACTAAATCAGAGGTGGCATAAGTTGATGTATACCACACGAGCCTTCTGTATCCGTTCTGAGATTTCGTCAGCGATCAACCCGCTGGCGCTGGCTGATGCAACTCCCCAAATAAGTGAAGTGGTCGACACGCTGTACAACTTTACTCCTGCCTAACTTTAAGCTAGTAGTGAGTCAATGCAGTCCAATCCTGTAGCATCATCTTACATTTGACGGGAACGAATTGCATGCAAAACATTCGAAGATTGCTGCTCCTCGAGGTGTTCAGGAAACTCTGCACCTTGTCAACATTTTCATCCAGGAGGGAGGACTATATCATCTGCATATTCTAAGTCAACGAGATTATAGATCATCAGTTAAACTCTTGAAAAAAAATATACTTACTTTAGACAATGCAAGCTCAGCATTTTCTAATGTAATCCCTTGACTTTTATGTATAGATATTGCCCAAGCCAAAGATAACGGCAGTTGACGTCGACTGCCAACTTCTTCTGTACCAACACCACGAATAGTCCATTTTTCAATTTGTACAGTATGTAGAAAGCTATTAGATCCACTATTTGACTTGGAAGAGAAAAATCGAACTTCTGGTAGACCGCTATCACTGTTTATCTTCTCTACTATACCACGAGCTCCATTGACAAGACCACGACCAGTATCTAAGTTCCGTAGCAGCATAACCTGAGTGTTTTATATTATTTCAAAGAGAAATGAACTTGTTAACATAGAGTTTCAATAAAGAAAAGTGTGTACAACAGAAGCTTATTGCTAGGATAATCCTACATGTACATTAATAATTTGCTTCCAATGTGATGTGAACCAGAATGAAAACAGACTGAATGAGGTGAGATAGTGTAACGGTAGGAGACGTAAGACTTCATAAAGGAATGTTTACTTGGAAATTGGTATCTCTGGCCAAATTATGTATACCTTATCTTCAAATCACCATTTGCACAGAGAGTCTTCCGTGTTGTGCCACTCCTGGCCTTCCTTCATATTGTGTTTCTTTGTGTTCCTTTCACTTCTCCCAAGTATCTCCACAACGCTGTATCACTTGCTTTCTAGGACATCAAATCTATCTATCTCCCTGCTATTTGATGTTTCTATGCCGATGAACTACTTTTTATATATACTACTGATAAATCTTATCAGTAGCACACGCCACAGTAGTACAATCACAACCAAAAGTATTAGTGCTAAGATAATCATCTTCTAGTCCTCCTATTTTAGCCTCTTACATAATTGTAGGAAAGGATTCTGTTTGATTCACACTTCAGCGCTTTGTCTCATTATTTGATTGCATCAGAGGTTCAACGGTGGAGTCAGTCTGTCTGTCTTTTTTCGACATAGAACTTTGCACATATATGCAGCAGTTCACGTCGCCACACTCCATGTAGCACACAAAGCAAGAGAAGAAACTAGGAGAGATGCATATTAGAGACAGTAAACAGAGGTGTGAGACAAAGGAATAGTAATAATGAAGAACAATATAGTTTCACTGGAAATCATAAGTCACAAGAGTGGATGCATCTACGCCAGCCATTGAGAACGATGAGTTTGAGCCATATCACCAATTGTTTCTAGCCGTCCCGAGGACCCCAACCAGTCAGGAAGTCTACACCTTCCTACGTGGCTGACTTAAACTAACTGTTGTGGATTTCATTGACTGATGAAGCCATGTTTTGGTTTGACCACCGCTAGCTCTCTTCCAACCTGATGCTATGTTATCTAACATTACCCGTCGAGGAAGGCGATGACTAGGCATACGTAACACATGTCCTAACTATCTCAGTCGATGTAATTTCAGAGCCTCGTCGATTGATTTCCCTTCCTTACCTAACACTCGACGCCTAACCTAAATATTGCTCATCTTATTATACCACTTTACACGGGAGATAGAACGCAGGTACCTATGATCGAACACAGCTAATCTTTTCATGTCTTCCACTCTCAAGGGCCAGGTCTCACAGCCAGCCATAAAGGAGGACGAGCGGACTATTGAGCAGTATACCCTCCCTTTGGTCGATAGCCGGATATCATGTCTACGCCAGAGACGGCGTAAACTGGTGGAGTACTCGCCGATCATTCATACACGTGGTCGGAGAATTGGATTCCCCAGCCGACGCGCTCTCCTTAACACCTCAATTAGCCTGGGTCGTATGCTCGATGAAGACAGAACACATTGGGCGTAAGAAAAAATAACAGCACTGCTACTGAAACCTCTGAGCTCAAAGCCCTATGTTCCTATCGGAGCACAAAGGAATAAAATAGTAAAATAAGTGTTATTTGACACAAAGCTTTAGGCTTGTTCCATACCTTCACAATTGGGAGTCTTTAAAAACAATCAGCTACTTCGATAAACGCTTTTTTGACTCATTGAAGATGCCCATAAAAATGTAAAAGACTGACTGATGAACAGAGAATATTTTTTTCGATAGAGTCGCCACCAAGTTCTACACTTATATGACCAATAATAATTAAAGAACTATTTTAAATTACACTAAACACCAATAGTATCGACAGGTGATTACATTTCAAAACCTTCAGTAAGAGAGACGTAATATGCATTAATATCGCACTAGACTGATTGAAATTCAGATGAATTAAGGGAAGTAACAAAGAAATTATACATTTATAGGCTCAACAGAAGGCCAGGCTAGCAATAGTGATTAGACCTTTTTCTTTTGTACCTTGAGCTCTGGTTGATTTAGACGAATTGCAATAGCCTCTGTGGTGATTGGAGGGTTCGGTATCTAGAGAGACCTTTGGTGATTTATTCAATATCCTATAGATGATAGAGTAAGACTCTTCTTCGATGCGGCTAGATTTGTGGCATGTCTAGACGAGGTGATCTTTAACATCGAACTATTGACAGCTTTAACTACGCCTTTGTTTAGCCACACTGGTAGGTGTGCTCCCAAGTATGAAAGATTAGGTTCGTTGAGAAACGGGTAGATTGATGGATACAATAAGAGGTGGCTAGTCTAGATACCTTGTCTTTCAGATTCAGAATCCCAACCGGTTGTGTGGAAAACGTGAGCTACAGCTTACTGAGATTAAACGTTCCTTGAATCGATTTTCTCAACTCATTGGTTATTATTATGTCGCTTAGGATATCTGTTACTTTTGAATTGTAGTCATATATATATATATATATATATATATATATATATATATGACTGTTTGACACCTGGGCTACCTTTCTGTATATCTAAAAATTCTGTATGTATAGGTAAAAAGATATATCAATGTTGCTGAACATTGAATAGTTTGTTTATTCGAACTGGTCTCCATATTGGCGGGTGACAAGAATGCTGTCAATGTGCTTAATTATGTGCTGGTTGGCAGAAGATTGGAGAAATACGATCAGAAATATTGTTTTACATTATATTAACGTTTATTTACAGATTTTGGTACTGATTGACCATTATAAATCTGTTCCGTTATCGGTTTAAGAATAAACAATCCTGTCGCCCAACCGTTTTCTGTTGTTCTGCGTCGGTTACAGTGCACAGTGTTCTGCGTATTTAAGCTTAGTCTTCTGAAACCAGCGATAGGTCCAGGATCTCTGCGATCTGGATATTTGATAAGGTACGTCAGTGGTTCAACGGTGGAATGCTCACCGGGGCTCGATCCCCGACAGACGCACTTCAAAACCTTGCTAAGTCGGTGGTAAGCCTGATAAAACGGAAAGGTTGTGTATGAGAGGCTATCAGCCCCAATCCACTCCGTAAAAGAAACACAACATCGTTGCTACCGAAACTTCACGGTTGAAGCTTGCAGCTGCATATACTTCAGTTCAACTCGGGACCCAAAGGAATAACATAGAAATAATAAATAATGCATAAATCAATAAGAACAAAGAATATTTTCTTACTTGTGCACCGACTTTTAAATTTAATACAGAAGGAGCTGGACAAATGGAATCTATGTAACTGGAATTTGTTTTACCGACAGAAGTATCTTGAGATCGATAAATTTTGCATACACCTATATCAAAGATAAATTTTTTATTCAGAACAAATTTAAATGAACTCAAAAGTCTATAGCTGTTTGTTTTTTAAGATATTCACTACAAAGTAGGTAAGGTAATTAATTGATTCAACCAGTTGAGGCCAGCCACAAAACAATTAAATCTATTAATACAATACAGTACAATACAACATTATGTGAATATAAAGACACTTTTCTGTAGCTTGCCAAACTGGAATACTGTAGATGGGGCAAACTTTAATGAGAACTTAAATTATAAAAGTCAACTCTGCTGATGTCACCTCCAACTGCGTTTATGAATTTACGTGCACTTGCGCGAGCAAGTACATTGGAAGGAAGGAAGGAAAGAAGGGCTTCCAGCCGGTTTTCTGAACATATTCCGAAGAACTACTAGATTACCGCGTCCGCAGACAGACATATCCTCCTCACAATTCTGTTGTATCTCACCAACTAATAAAATTAGTGAAATAATCCATATTCATATTTGTGTTACTTATTATCTGTTTCAGTAGTCAAAATAATCAGAGGTCAAAAAATCGACGACCAGCTATAAGTGAATATGAGATCTTTCGATAAAGAAAAGAAGATGAAATTTGCAGTATAAAATGATATCATCATTCTATTTCACAGGTTCTCATCAGCTGCACACCCCTACCTGAAATTACAATGGTTATATAGATGATAATAATATACTTTAATGTCTGAGTGGTAGTAGAGAAGAAATACTATAAAATTGACGCACCCAAAATGTAAGCATTACAATTTTTAGTTTAAGTTTTCATCATCAATTTATACGCTTTCAAAGTTGAAAAGAGGGAGGAGGGAAAGCCAAGAAGCTATTTTCACCAAACAAGGTCTAAGAAGAATTAGATTTCGTCGAGAAATGCCTAAGAGAAAATGGATACCCTAAGGGATTTATACAGAAGTATAGCAGAGAAAAAGATAAGAAAGAAAAAACACCCAACTGTAGAAAAGAGAAAAGTGTTTATTTGTCTCCCATTCAAAGGAGATACAGAGTCACAAAAGATTGACAAAAGACTGAAAGGTGCAATAAAAAGAAGCTTCCCGGCAGCAAAACTCATAACATCATACAGCACCACTTCTTCTATAAGCCACTCAAAACTGGATAAATACCCTGCTGATGTTACCTCCAACTGCGTTTATGAATTTACGTGCACTTGCGGGAGCAAGTACATTGGAAGGAAGGAAGGATAGAAGGGCTTCCATCCGGTTTTCTGAACATATTCCAAGAAACTTGTGCCTGAAAGGAAGCAAATATTCTCAGAGTGCAATTACCAGACATACTGTTGATACCGGACATCTCGTAGAGATTTCTAAGTCCTTCAAAATACTAAATAGACAGTAAACAGCAAATTTACTACGATTTGCCGAAGCGATTTCAATCAAACGATTCAAACCAGACTTATGCATACAGAAAGAGAGTGTGATTAATCCCTCACTAACTTAGTAACTGAATTTTAATTTTGATTACATTAATTAGTCATCTAATTCAGTGATCTCAACTCACTGGACAAATCTCAGTCTTATAAACTGTAACCACTTTTGTTTTTTGAGTTGCTATGTGAACCTACAAGCTGACACTGTTTCTGTTTATCAATTTTTCTGTTTTCTGTCGTACTCCTACCCCCTCTATTCTACTTTGAAAGCGTATAAATTGATGATGAAAACTTAAACTAGAAATTGTAATGCTGCTTTCATTTTGGATGCGTCAATTTTGTAGTATTTCTCCTCTACTACCAATTAAACATTAAAGTATGTTTACAGGATATTATCATGAGGTGACATTAGTCAGAGAACCATTGGAAAACCTGGGAGTACTAGACAGCTGCTTCATCCTAGTTTGGGACTCTTCATTAGTACGCACCCACCTGGATTCGAACCCAGGACCTTCTGGTTACAAGGCGAGCTCGTATACCATTAAGCCACTTGGACCCAATGGTATACGAGCTCGCCTTGTAACCAGAAGGTCCTGGGTTCGAATCCAGGTGGGTGCGTACTAATGAAGAGTCCCAAACTAGGATGAAGCAGCTGTCTAGTACTCCCAGGCTTTCCAATGGTTCTCTAACTAATGTCACCTCATGATGAAATCCTGTGACCAATCAAATCCCTACAAACCAACACTTGAATATTAAAGTATGTTATTATCATCTATATAACCATTGTAATTTCAGGTAGTGGTGTGCAGCTGATGAGAACCTGTGAAACAGAATGATGATATCATTTTATACTGCAAATTTCGTCTTCCTTTCTCTATCGAAATTTATCAAGGGAACCAAATGCATAATAAGTTAACTCATTAGATAAATAACACAAAGAATTTTGTGATATTACTTTTGTCTACACTTTTATGTGTACTTTCATTGAAATGGGTGTAACTTGAACACTAATGCTTTGAAGATCCTATAGTGATTGGATTGATATTCAAGGATCAGATATACATTTGAAGAGACCGTTGAATGACATCGTGGGACAGGCCATCACTCCCAAGTGGAACCCGAATGGGGAACGACAAGTGGGATATGGGTTGTGTAAGGAGGAGATGAGAGACTATGGGCAATTGTGAGGCCAGAATGTTAAGGGGACTGCAGAAAGCAGGGTGAAATGGAAATGTGTTGTCGAAGCCTTACCTTCTCTCAGGAACCCAAGAGAACAAAAAATGATAAACAAATAGTAAACTTATGCACTTTTGAGTAATACTCTACATTGACTTGAGTATACATCTTTCTCAACATGAGACAGACTGAAAGTGGAAGTGTTTATATCATTAAAGAAAATAACTTATGCACCACGCGGATGTTAAGTGCCAATAATGAGGAATAAACAATAATTAGAATAAGCCGAGAACTACATTTTTTGCAGAATAAAGTAGTGCCATCATTTATTTCGTTGCCTTCTCATCAGCTGCTTACAGGCCACAGTCAGTAGTACGTATTCAGATGAGAGAGAGGGTGCAAATATCCAGTTACCAGGGCAAAGAAAGACTGATAACTGCTTCTTTCTGAACGCACAAGTAATGTTTCAGGCGCTTGATGGAGATGGCTTCAGCAAACTTGAGAAGAATTGAGCTCTTTTGCCTATTGATAATTTTGAACGATTTTGCGACGTCCACCTCATGAACCGTGTCAAGAAGATGCCTGGCGATGGCACTGTTTAAAGCATTTGTTCCCTTTAGACATAAGCTTTTTGTTACATGTTCAGAAAATCGTACATATGCCCTTCTTTCTGTCCTTCCAATGTAACTGCTGCTGTAAATTTGTATATACAGTTGAAGTTAACATGAGAAGGATATCTATCGATTTTTGATTGCACCAAAGGGCAAGTTGTTCGGTAGACAGGAACGAGCTTAGCTGAAGGATAGGCTCTGGCTAGTGAATTACTCAGTCTTCTGTTGACCATTGCTACAATGTTTTCATCTTTATAATCAAGCTGAAAGTAGATTGGCTTTTTACCCAATGTGATTTGTTTTGCATTTGAGACTTCAGATCTACCGTACTTGTTAATGAATCTTTGAGAATAGATATATTTAACAATGATTGTGGCCTGTAAGCAGCTGATGAGAAGGCAACGAAATAAATGATGGAACCACTTTATTCTGAAAAAACTGTAGTTCTCGCTTTATTCAAATTCATTAAGGGGAATAAATGTATGAAACAAGAATTACACAGAAAATGGGATTATAAATAGGATCAGAAGGAAATGAGGAAATTGACATATTCATTAATTCAAGTTTGATCATGGATTTGCGTCAGTTAGAGAACCATTAAAAAGCAACAGGGAATAGTGGACAGTTGTTTCGTACCAGTTTGGGACTCTCTATCAGTACACACCCACTGGGGTTCGAACTCACAGACCTTCCAGCTACAAGACGAACTCATAGACTATTCAGACACTGGGATCCCATCACGAATGGGCAGAAGCTGGAGTTCATGGGTTATTGGATCTAGTTTCAGCGGCAGAATGGTCTACGAGTTCACTTAGTAACCAGAAGGTCGTGAGTTTTCCCCCTGGTGGTGGGTAGGTCCCGTGAAGAGTCTCAAACTAGGACGAAACACCTATGCAGTACTCCCTATTGGTTTCCAATGGTTCTCCAACTGATGCTAACTCGTAGTTAAACTTGCAACCGATGAAATCACTGAAGACATAAAAATATTTCAACTCACCTGGTAATTCATCTAACATACGCTTATTCCAAGCTTCAGCATCTGCACGATGAGTATATAAACGTGTTGCAATGCATTTACTACCATTATTATTATTATCACTATCACCATTTTTGTAATTGCCTAATTCAGATATTACACGAGATCGTAATATTTTAATCGCCCATTTCGGACACTGGCCTTCACGTATAACAGAAAGTAAATGTGCTAATTTAGGATCATCAGATTGTCGCCATGAATGTGTCAGCTCAACAACTTTAAAATGACATTTATCCCAAGAAGGTGATTGAAAAGCGAATTTACTTTCAGATTGTGTCTATAATTCGAAAAAGGGAAATCAATAAATACATTACATAACATTAACACAATTAGTACTGGCAAAAGGCTGAAAGAAATTAGCAAACTATTAAAAATATCAGGATTGATTACGAGCTGACAACAGTTAGAGAATCATTGGAGAACCAGGTGGGAGTACTGGACAGCTGTTTTGTCCTCCCCCTTGGGACTCTTCATCAGTACGCACCCGCCGCCATGAGTTCGAACCCAGGACCTTCTGGTTGCAAGGCGAGCTCGTAGACCATTAGGCCACTGGGATCCGACCCAATGGTCTATGAATTCCAGCTTTTGTCAATTCATGATATATTTAGCGTAACCGTCAGTCACTTTCACTGCCGAGTAACTTTCCTCACTCCTGGCTTGGAGGACCCTGCTGGTTACAACTTCTCACTAGAACCCCAGGTAACTTCCTACGTGGGGTCAGTCGCCAGTGAGCATCAGAATAATTTTCAAGTGTTGGTTTGTAGGGATTAGATTGGTTACAGGACTGAGATACTGCCCGGACTCCTGTACATCGAAGCAAGTGATTTTCTAAAGAGGCAACCCCAAGAGCCTTCGGTGTGAAGTTTGATCCACTAGGGAGTAGACCACAGTCAGGAGTTGTGTTCTCATGGGTTCACCCGCCATTCCACTCATTTAGATTCTGTAGCCACGTATACCATAAGGTTTGGAATGAAAGCTTTCCAGCTCCCTTAGGTAGACCAGCATGTCCAACAATCCGTTAGTAAGCGACAGACATTTTAATTCGCCCTGTCGTTCTTATGAGGAACACCCCTGCCGCGTGAAGACAGTGAACAGAACTTACCTGCCAGAGACTACGAATGTGTCGCCACATGACAGTATTTCGAGAAGACCGAAGTCTACCCACCCTCAACCAAACCAGGTCGTTTATAGAGGGGGGAGGTTGTTTAGAGATTTTCAGAAAACTGATCGGTAGTTACAAGCAGACATCAGTCAGCAATACAATGAAGAAGCTCCAAGTAGCAGTGAAGATTATTTTCTCATAGTTTAGAGTCCTTACCCAATACACACCTATGAGGACACGCGATCAAGCGAGGAATCTGCAAGCTCCGTGAATGATGCTTACGAAAACATTTCTAATTGATTAGATTAGCAAAACAGATTGACTGAGTCATGAAGACATTTTAATGGTCCATGACTCGACTAAATATGTGGCTGTGAGTTAACATTGGCAGAAAAGTTCTTGACTAGAATGTCTAGCGCACTCTTCTGTCCCAGGTAGTTTCTCATAGATGTCAGTTAGCTGGTAAAACCACTTCAGTCCCTATAAAACCTAAAGGGTAAAACACTCATTACTTCTAAGAGAAGGGGAATACATTTATACACAAAGCATCATTTTAACTGATTTCATGAATTCGTAGTAGAATGGAAAAAAACATGAGATAAATCGAAGCAGTTGACTTATAAAGTCAAGAAATATGTTAACGTTGTGAATACACACCAAATCAGAAGATTTACAGTGATAATGAATAATGAATCTACCAAAAAATATCAATTACAAATTAAGATTGTGACAGATTGTCATTTATTATTCTATGTGAGTTATAAATAAATATCTGTGTAACTTTAAAATATTTATGATAACGAACGCGTTTAGATAACAAATAAAATTAGCATTTCGTATTTTTATTATTATTGTTCCCTTGGGTTCCTAGTGGAACATAGGGCTTCAACTGCACGTCTCCACTTTCTTCTGTCTTCTGCTGTACTTTTCACCTGCATCCATGTCAGTCCATGCTGTTTCAACTCCTCTTCACACGATCTCCTCCATTTTGATGATGGTAACAGTGTAAGGCAGGACATTAGGAAATTACTGTCGAACACCAAGTCAACCGCCCACTTTTTCCTTCACTATTATATTTTTGTTAATATTTTCACCTAATTTAACTTTATATTCATATTCTTTTATAACAGTATTACCAATGCAAATATTATATATTATATTATTATTAACCAAACAACAACAGCAGCAGCAACATCCAGCGCCAATCACCATCAACGGGAAACATTTGAAAGAGGTTACTTCATTCACTTATTTAGGGAGCATTGTCTCAACTACAGGAGGAACCGACGAGGATGTCAAATCGAGAATCGGGAAGGCGAGAAACACATTCATCAACCTGAAACCAATCTGGAAATCTTCGTCACTCAGCCTGCATCAACAACAAAATTCGGATTTTCAATACAAACGTCAAGTCAGTCAGTTCTTCTATACGGATGGATCAGAAACTTGGCGGCGGGTCACAAAGAATATTTCCAACAGCCTGTTGCAGACCTTTATCAACAACTGTCTTCGTTCTATACTCAAGATCAGATGGCCGGAAAGAATCACCAACAAGAAACTATGGGAACGAACAAAACAACAATCAATCGCCCAACAGATATGCAGCAGAAAGAAGTGGAGATGGATTGGACACTCGCTGAGGAGGCCGCTGGGTGACATTGCGCGTCAGTCAGGCCAGTGCTCGAGTGGAACCCGAAAGGGAAGCAGGGAGTGGGACGTCCAAGGGTGACATGGAAGAGATCGTGTGAAGAGGAAATGAAACAGTATGGATTAACATGGACTCAGGTGAAAAGTACAGCAGAAGACAGAAACAAGTGGATACGTGCAGTTGAAGCCCTATGTTCCACTAGGAACCTAAGGTAACAATAATAATTATTATCTAGGTTTTCTAATCCTAACAGTAACCTTAATCTTTCCATACTCTAAGCCTAATCTAACTTAAATCAACCCTCATTAGGTTAGCCTAACCCTAACTTATCCTTAGCCTAAAGCTTAACGTATTCTTTCCTAAACCTAACATGAAACTTGCCAGATATCCCATTTAATAAAATAACACTTCATTAAGCATACTTTATTCATCATTACAATATTATTTACCAGGTTTTACTAACTTGATCACCGAGTGTTTCAAGGTCACTGCTGTAGTCGCACTCCACTGGTGCCTAAAATTTAACTTAGCCCTGAATTCTAACAGAATAGAGAGAATACAATACCCGCTCAAAAAATGCCAGTAAAGATGATGAAGGTAACCAACTGAGAACGACAACAAGCACTAATCACCATCAACGGGAGAGACTTGAAAGAGGTCACCACTCTCACTTATCTAGGCAGAATCGTTCCAACAACAAGCAAACAACACGGATGAGGATATCAAGACCAGAACTGAAAAGGCAAAAGCACGCCTTGATCACTCTGAAGGGAGTCTGGAAATCTTTTGCACTAATTCAGCATAAACAACAAAATTCGGATTTTCAATACAAATGTTAAGTCCTTTAATTCAATGCATGTACATCCGGATGACGAGTCCCAAATAGGACGAAACGTGCATCCTGGATTTCACTGAAATTCACCACCCATCAATCGACTTAAATGTTAAGTCAGTTAGTTCTTCTATGTGGGTCAGAAACTTGACGCACGCGTCAGCAAAAGCATTTCCAACAGCCTACTTCAGAGTTTTATCAACAGTGCTGCCCACTTCACTGGCTCCATACTGAAGATCAGATGACCAGTCAGAAAGAATCAGCAAAAAGGAACTCTGCAGTTGAACGAAGCAATCAACAACTTATTGCTCAACGAGTATCCCGAAGAAAATGAAGGTCGATTGGATCCACACTGAGGTGACTATCGAATCACATCGCGCGCCAGACATAACCTCGCGTAGAATGCGGATGGGAAACGATGTGTCGGGCGTTGGTTCGATGGTGACATGAAGGCGATCGTGTGAGGAGAAAGAGGAGATGAGAGCTTATGGGCAGTTGTGGAGCCATCTACAGAGGACTGCAGAGAACAGGATGACATGTAGATGTTCTGTTGAAGCCTTATGTTCCACTCGAAAGAAGAAAGAAATATGATCGTATACGAATGTTTCATAAATTACACTAAATAAAATCAGAGATCTGTATACATACCCGAGAAGCAGGAACAACAGGTGGTAATTGAAAAAAATCACCAAACACAATTAACTGAATCCCACCAAATGCTAATTTTTCAGCATTTTTACCCATTGACCGACGACATTCAGTAGCTACAAGATCTAAACGTGTAAACAGTCTACTGCTTAACATGCTTATCTCATCAATAACAAGATAACGTAGTTTTTGCCAACGAGCTATCATATCTGTACGATATTTTAAACGTGCACGTAGATTTGTCATCCAAGCGGATATATCATTATTATTATCCATTTTTAAATCAGATTCAAGTAAAGGTCCTAGTCCAGAAAACGCGTGTACTGTCAATCCACCAATAAGATTAGCAGCGGAGCCTGTACTAGCAGTTACAGCAGTATATTCTGGAGGGAGTAAACCTGAATAATAATAAAAAGACAATATGGTACAATTAAAGAAAAGTATTAAAAAAAGTTTATTTCGTTTAGGTAAGATGAATTCGTGTATATTAAATATTCCCATAGTAAAATTTAGAAGAACACATTTAAGCGAACAATATTGTGGTTTCAATTAGATCTCATCAGGCTTAACTCTAATATACCTACATAAGTTTATTATTATTATTATTGTATCCTTTAATTCCTACAGGAATATAGGGCTTCAGCCGTGCGTCTCCATTGCGTTCTGTTCTCTGCTAGAGTTTTCACCTGGTTCCAAGTCTGCCCACACGCTTTCATCTCCTCTTCACATGACCTCCTCCAAGTCACCCTCACCCTTGCACTGACGACCAACTCGCCGCTTCCCTTTCGGGTTCCACTCGAGCAATGGCTTGTCTAGTGATGTCACTTGATGGTTTCCTAAGAGTATGGCCAATCCATCTCCATTTCCTCCTACCTATTTGTTTCACAAATAAAAATTCAAATATAAACCAATCATGGTGTTTTGCCTATAGGATAGTAAGATGGTAAATATAAATTGTGCAATTAGTCATAATAGTAGAAATGATAATAATAATAGTAATAATAAAAATGGTCTTATCAGTAATAAGGATGAAAAAGTGAGGCTATCTATGACAAAAAAAATAATGAAAAAACAGTATGATTAAACAAACAACTGTTCAGGTGGAAGTAGTCGATAAAGGCTAAGATAAAAACAAATGAACCGATTAAGTAATGTTAGATTGTAAGGGAAGTAAATAAAACACGTTTATAATGAAGATGTGATAAGATTAAGGAATGAAAAGAGAGGGGTTGAAAGTATAAATAATGGGTGGTGTAGAAGTCATTAGTTGGTTATGCCTTAATAGGCCAAGGCTGTACGAACTTTTTTTGAATGCATAGTTTAGGTTTAATAGTTCGAATGCCTATCGCCTCAGCTGTGTGCAGTAAACGAATACGAAGTCTACTGGAAAGATTCGGTGGGATACGATGAATTACTTTGAAGGCTCTCGTTTTCTCCACTACATGACCACTATCAATTAAATGTGACAAAATTGAGCTACGGATTGTTTTTGTCTATCCTTTGCCAATTTATATTCACCATCTTATTATCCTATAGACAAAACACCATGATTGGTTTATATTTGAATTTTTATTTGTAAACTTATATATATTAGAGTTAAGCCTGATGAGATCTAATTGAAAACAATATTGTTCGTGTATGCCAATCAGAGAGTAATACTAGGAAATAGTAAGCACCAGTAACTACCAATCAGCGAATGGCCTTGAATGCACCAATCACATGAAAATAATGTAGGAAAAGGGTATAAAAATGTTACACAGGATACCTTTCTCTAACCTGTAACAAAAATGACTTCCAGTTTTCCATAGGAGTATCAATACAGATGTTCAACCATATTCCATACATGTATTCATCTAAATGGCTGTAAATAAGATCCTTTTGAGATCCGTTAATGCCTCTAATCCTGCTCTTCAATCTTCCTCAAAATCCCTCAATAGAATTGATGTGGGTCTCTGTAATAGGATCCATAAAATCAGTATTGGTCCGTCCACCCTATGGTGAATAAATCCTTTCCACTCATCTGTGTATATTATAGATCTGCATTGATGATAAATGGGATCTGGCAAAAAAAGGTTTTTCTAAGAAATAGTATAACCAGCAGCTTACACTCCCTCAGAGTAACTCATTTCAAACAAATTTCGCAACAGTTCATCAACCGGTCTACTTTTATACTCATAATATGGCGTATGCTACTAATAAGATATATCAGTAGTATATGAAGAGACGTTTATCGGCCCAAAAATATCAAATAGCGAAGAGACAGATTTGAAGTCAAAGAGAAGAAATGAACCAGTATTGCGGCAGGACATGGGAGACACGAAAAGAAGACAAAGAAACACAATACGAAGAAAGGGCAGAAGTAGCCCAACACGGAAGATCTGGGCAAATGACGATTTTCACATAAGCTGTACATAATCTCCTTATATAGAGATATCAAGGTCAAGAAAAGAGTCGCTTGTCTTCTACCGTTACAATAATACATCCATAGGAACAAATTCTCTCCTTTCCAATCAATCCCATATCCAAGAAATACTGGAAAACTTGGTCTATACCAAATTTCAGACGTAACTTCGTTAGAGCGGCCATTTCACTCGAATCAAGAGAAATGAAAGCTTGAATTCACGTGAAGACACTAATTGGCCAATTCAAGGTCACTCGTACGGTCTCACTCCGTTGGTAGTTACTGGTTCCTAAAGTTTAACTTGTCTGTAATGACATTTGAAACTTGGTTGGCATTTAACAAGAGTTATCTTTTTATTCTTATAGAAATTTAAAATAAGCATCAGTGTATGATGGTACTGCTGATACTACTGATTAACTGATAAAAAGTAGGTGGATACCACCACCACACCAACCACTAACAGTGCCTCCTTGCCAGATCTAAGTGATACGAACATCGGATAGCCGTTTCTCTCGTTTGGGATCGAACTCTTCAGCCCCAAAAGCTAAATCAGAACAAAGTACCCGACTAATGACCAGCTACTTGAACGAATTGGTAGTAGTAACTCCAAACTATAACGACCCAAAACCAAACTATCTAACAAAGACCTTGAGAAATCCCTATCGAAAATTCTAATAATAATAATAGCAATAACAGTGATCATCAGATGAATTATTTAAAACGTACAAGTAGCTGACGCAGGTGGTGATAACAGTAAGGAATGCAGTATGATAAATGTAAGCAATTCAATAATTAGATCAGGTCGAAGTCTTATAAAATTAAGAGTAACGTAATAGCAAGGATAAAATGAATAGGTAATCGGAATTCAGATGAATATCTTAAAAGTGTGAAGTATGCGAAGAATAAAAAAGGTTTGGGAAGTTTTAATGAGCTTTGGCTATGTGTGTAAAAGACAACTTCAAAAGGTTCGATGGAATGCAACAGATGCTTCTTCTCTCCACTAGGTAGCTAAACCTTTTTACAACATTCAATCATACTACTTTTTTAAAATAAAGTAGTGTAATCCTATCTCAAAATATTTTTCATGTGACAGACAGAAGCAAAGAAACGTAATTTCTTATAGGTGAAAGCACATCAATCAATATATAACACTGACGTATCACATAGTACATAACTTTAAACCACAGTTACGACTTACCAATTAAATCTTATCGCACAAATAATAACACATAAGTGTTTAGGGAATTAAAGATACAACAATTCTTATTTATTTATTTATTTATTTATTTAAACGCATTAAAACTTGGTACAATATGGCACCAAGAAGGATGCGCCACACAATAATAATAAAACAACATAGATGAAAAAAAGGAAGACAGGAAAAGAAAAATATATATAAGTAGAGAACGAATAATGAACTTCATCTGGAAGGAAAACACTCATTCTTAACAGGTTCAAACAGTGTTCGTTAACTATCATCAGGAAGGGAAGAAAGAAGGAAATTGCAACACGTTCGCCATTGATTACGATTCTTGGCCATATCCGATAACGTTTCGAGCCATCGATTTGAGCTATCTCTCAGACCCCAACCAGGGAGTCGTGACACACCAACCGATGCTCATCTAGCACAAATATCCTTCATCCCACGACGCCACGTCATGGGCTGACCACCTCTCCGCCTTTTCCAACCCGTCCCAGGGCTAGCGAACAGAGACCTGTACGGAAGCCTCTGGGGTGACATTCGCAGCACATGTCCAAGCCACCGGAGCCGGTGTTTCCAGATGACGACATTCAATGGATGGTGATCTCCACTGTGTTCAAACACACGCCGCCGAACCTCAGAATTACTCACGCGATGATGCCATCGAACGCAAGCAATCCTGCGGAGACAGCGGTGATCGAACACGCAGAGTCGCCTCACATCCTCAGCTCGGAGAGGCCAGGTTTCACAGGCGTAGAGCAGCGCAGCCCGCACCGAAACATTGTATACCCGACCTTTGACAGCCAGGCTAACGTCGCGACGGCGCCAGAGGTGGCTCAAGTTGATGTATGCCACCCTAGCTTTCATTATACGGTTGGAAATCTCATCCGTCACCCCTCCGCCAGCACTCACACAACTACCTAGGTACACAAACTTATCGACAACTTCAAGCGGTTCACCCGCAAGAGTGAGTGCAGGTACAGGCTCCTGCCAATCTTGTAACAGTACTTTGCACTTAGACGGCGCAAAGCACATACCATACTTACTTACTTACAACAACTCTAAAGATAAACTATTTCATATAACCACTTCTATTTGTATCTACCAATTCACTTGCTCCTATGGAGTGAGATAATATACATCTTTCGATGCGTGTTTTATCTAAAAGAGTCAAAGAACATTATCCCACATGGCTACGAAAAGGTAACAATGGATCAATAAAGAGTGCTATAGTTGAATATATATTCAATACTAATCACTCAATATGCACGGAGGAGTTTACTCAGAGTTATCTACAAAGTCAAACGAAGCCTCCAGAAAATGGTGAGCATCAGTACACTTTGCACTGACAAGACCTTAGCGATTCGCATGGAAAACCATGGAGAAGAAACCTCTACATCCCCTCCTACCTTGGGTTTCAATATTTTGTTTATTAATACTCTATTTTGTGCAACTTTTCGCATGACAGTTAGTATCATCATCATCATCAGGATCTACAGTTATAAATCCATGAATAATAGAGTACATACAGCCAATAAAGGCAAATGAAAATAATATCAGAAACTGTATTGGGGTGCATGTGTAAGTTGAGATGATAGTCCATTAGTTAACATAATCAATCAAATGTGTATAGGGTGTATAGTCAGAAAAATGTGATGAAGTGTGAATGAACAATTGGGTGATATAGTGCTGTTTTATAGTCAACAGAATACAAGTGTCATTGGGGTGAGAGAAATGCGATAACCACAAAATACCTACAAACACACATTAACAAAGGGGACACTGAATGTGAGGGC